TAAAAAAAATTGAGGTGACTTTCATGTGACTTTCAAATAATTCTTCAAGGTCAAACCAATGGTACCATCTTATGGTCCCTTCGAAACCAAACAACTTTTGTCTGAAAAATTTTTCTCTCCTGGGCTTGATTTTCGAGATATTCGACTGAATGGATTAAAATGGTCCACCCTGTATATATACATATATATATATATATATATATATATCTCAATGCATATGTTGAAAAAATCCATGTAGATTTCTATGTGTTAATAACACATAGAAATATGATGCATTATATTTTTGGCGTACAGAATTACGGGGCCCAGCAAACCCATCGGATCGTAGATCTTTGCGATCTCTGATAAGATGCTCCGCTTCGTCAATCTTTCCGAAACCTTGATGGACTGAACCGAATAAAGTATCCTGTTGTCTCGTGCATTCCACGTTATTCCCAGCGTTTTGAGAGAACGATCTGCGTCCAATCTTAAGTCCGCGTGCAATGTATTAGACGCGAGGTCACAAATGACGCGCTTGTCATTAGACGCCCATTGACGAATACTAAAATCGCCCCGTTTCAATAGCGCAATAATCTCGTCTCTAATTATGCGCACCTTGTAACGATGCACCCCCTTAAAGAACGCATCGTTCCCGCACATAAAACCCAGCGGGAACCGGGCGCAGTGCGCCCGGGTTATCTTTTGCGCCACCCAGCGAAACACGCGGGAAACTCACCCCGCCGAGCACTCCCTTGTCTTTTTTACAAACCCCCCCCGAAGATTACCGACGAGACGCGGAAAAGTCCGAACACGCGCCCGAGCGGGTATAAAAGCCGGGAGAACTTCCAACGACTTCGCTTCTCGCTTGACTCGCTACCCGCCAGTCCGCCAGAAGACCTTCCGCTCCCATACCGCAAGCAGCTCGCACAAACGGGGTCGAGAGATAGTTCTCCGCCTAGCGTTCTTAGGCAGACCTGCTCCGGATCCTTCCACAGAACGGTCAGCACCGGGATCGAGAGGGTTCTTGGCCTCAGCTAAGTATATCTGGGTGATACCCGATTGACCACGTCCCGATTGACCACCAGCCACTCACAGCGCTTGAACAGTGGAAAATCTCTAGGCACCGGCCGCTGTGAGTGGCTGTGGTCAATCGGGACGTGGTCAAACGGGACGCTCCCAGTATATCTTGGCAAACCGTCTCCGACTTCTTCCTCCGGAACCGCCGAATCCAGGGGACTGAGAGAGTTCTCACTTCCCACTGAGAAAATACCTCAGCGGCGGATTCCCCTGACAAACAACGGGATCACCGATTCTCAGAATCGGCTAGGGCCACGCGCCCCCCTTCACCGCACACCGCGCTCACCGGGGACACTCGTCTCGCGTGCCGCGCCGCTCCCCGCCTACCGCGCCTACCGCGCGCCCACTGACGTCACGCGCCAACACGTGCACAGCCGATGGGCACTAATCGGCTCTCGCGCTAACTTGTACAATATGTATATATATCGTCCGTTCGAGCGTACCGAATTGTATAGATCTACGTATTTAATAACCAGTTCTTTTGTACATATTATACGGAAACCGTGTCTCATTAATTGCTCTTCCCTCTCCGCCCTGAGCCAATTTCGCCGCCCGTTTCCGACGAGCTACTCCGTGCGACGAAATAACGGCAGTTGTTACAACCTCGTAAACAGTTTCGGCGCCGGACAGTAAATCATCTACGTACAAATGTTCTTTGAGAATTTTTGCTGCTCGGGGAAATGCGTGACCCTCGTCATTCGCGAGTTTTTGGACGGTCCGAATCGCAAGAAATGGTGAGGAAGAAACGCCGAAAGTGAGCGCGGTGTTTAGTTGGAATGTTTGGATTTCATTATCTCGGCGCCACAAAATTCGTTGGTAACATCTATCATTTTTGTGTACCAGTACCTGTCGGTTAGTACATCTTTTCAATATCGGCGCTAACAACGTAGTTATAAGTGCGGAATTGAACTGAATGGGCAAATAATTTACTCTATATCGTAGGTCCTGTCAACAATGCGTCATTCAGAGATACACCGTTGTTTGTCTTTGCCGACGCGTCGAATACAACCCGGACCTTATAGTGGTATTACTGGATTCCTTGAATACCGCATGGTGCGGCATATAATAACCATCGTTATCGGGATTGTCTACCTGAGACATATATCCTAATTCTAGGTATTCCTCTAATACTTGCGTGTATTCAGTCTTTAATGTCGCGTTTACGTTAAATCTACGTTCTAGTGCTGCTAGGCATTTAAGTGAGAGGGTTCGAGATTCACCGAGACGTTTCTTCGTATCTTTAAATGGCAAACGAACTATATATCTCCCGTCGCTGTCGCGAGAAACAGTGTTTATAAAGCGTGTCTCACATGCCACTTCCTCCTCCGATTTCGGTTTATTTTGCATAATTTCTTCGATCGCCCAGAATCTAGCCAATTGATCTTCTAATTTCGTTAAATATGTCATGTTTTTCGAAGGGCATTGTGACGCTGTGCCGCCAGCCACTACCCATCCTAATCGCGTGTTTTGGAGATATAGATCGTAATCCTTGTGCGATAAATTGACTTGACCGACGGAGAACAAAGACAACGTCGCGCCGGAACCGATTAACAAGAATAACAAGTCGACTGAACGAGGAAGATGGAATTCCGGATCGGCCAATCTGATATTCGGGGTAAATTTATCGAGTTTCTTGGAAATACCTCAGATGGAATCAAATCTGCTATAGCCGGGATTGTTAAACACGTTATAGGTGTACGGAAATCGTCGTGAGTTGACTGTATGGTGAGTTGCACGACTCCTCTAGACTCGGTAGTCATAGTATTAATCGCGCCGATCGGTATCGAGTGTTCGACTACACGCATATTTAACTGTTTTAAGATGGACTCAGAAATAAAATTCGCGGTCACCCACGTATCTAGAAGAGCACGGCATTTAACAAGCTTATGTTTGCGATCGCAAATATGTACCAGCGCGCTCGTTAATAACTGCGGCGCATGTGCGTGTGATAACGACACGAGACTCGTCGCCTTGCAATCGGTCCGGTCGGTTAGTCACGCTGATTGAGTAGTCTCGGATTTCGTTGCACTAGATTTCATTGCAGGCTTGTCGAGATGGAGAAGTGTATTATGTCGTTTCTGACATATAGTGCAATTCGAAAATTTACACGGACTGTCTCGGTGGGAACGCAAGCAGTTATAACATAACCTCGCGTTCTTGACTGTTTCAATACGTTTAGGGACAGACAACTGTTTAAATGCGTCGCACAAAAAAAGTGGGTGTTGTTTAGCTTTACATGCTATACAATTGCGTGTCGTGTTTAATAATATTACTTGATTCGACGAACTATTTTTCTTGACTCTTTTGACCGGGGGAACGTCTACACTCTTCTCTGTCTCTTTTTCCCTTTCCTGTTTTGATATGCGCAGACCGCGGATTTGTATAAGAATTCGTATAACTGATCGAATTTCGGAAATTCATCTCTCTCGAGTAAATTCTCCCATCTCTCTAATGCGCTCTTTGGCAGTTTACTTTCAAGAAGATGCACGATCATTTCGGATCCGCTGGTAACACCCAACGCACTCAACAACGCAAGATGTTGTTGCGTATCGTCCGCGAGCTTAGACAAACCACTTGTAGTTTCCTTCTGTAATACGGGAAGATTTATAATTGCCGCAAGATGACGCGAGATCAGCACGCGTTTAACTTCATACGCTTTCTCTAACAGTTCCCACGCGTTGGAATAATTA